ACACTAGAACTTCCTTCTCCTTGCCTGGCATTTCTCATTAATCCTGGATTTAGACATAGACCCCAGAGCTGAAGACTTTCCCAGTTCTCTCTGCTCAGACAGATGTTGTATGCCTCTGTAAATATCCTGCAGTCAACATAGCTGGCCCAAAGTCCTGGAAGTAAGCTACATTTTAGTTGAAATTAGTCTCCTGGACTGCAATTAAACTCAACCTATTTCACCTTATTTCTTTCACAGATTTTTCTACCCAATATGAGTCATGAATTCTGTATTTCTTTCACTGATTTTTTCCCCCACCCAGTATGAGTCATGAATTCAGTAACCTGTCTTCTAGAAATGATGTCAGTGCTTAACTGAACTCACCTATCTACTTCCCTGTTTGGTTCTCATGCTCGCTGGATGGTGGTCTATAGTTGTGGCAGAGATGTTAGTAACAAGGAGAGCTCTGGCTATTTGGGTCATATGGCTTCCCACCAGGGCAGGTGAATTAAACATCTGCATATTAGTCCTTTGTCCAGAGTCCCCAGTCAGCATAATGGGAGGATGGAGGAACAGTCACTCCTGAGAACAGACCAGCAAGTAGCTGCCTTTGAAGACTGCCCCTCAGCACCCACACACATTCCCACCATGATACCTGCTGACATGTTAACCCAGCCATCTTTGTTCCTCCTCAAAATCTTCTAGCAGATGGCCATCATTTACACTTGTGGGTCTACGACTCTGATCTTTAATGGCTCACAAGGTCTCTCGTAACAGCACTATCAGCCTATTAAGTCATGTTTTGATGCCTCTGATGGATATAATCAATGATTTACTGTGTTTACTCTGATGTGCAGTAAGTTTCCATGCATCCCTTTCTTCATACACATCAAACTATCCATCTATAACATCTTCTCCTGCTCCATCTTCTGTGAAGTTGCCATTCCTATGGTAAAAATCCATTCCACATCCAACTCCCTTCCCACCGGTCTGCTCCTAGCTGGACCCTCTCCCGTGGTTCCCCAGCATCTCTGCGGGTCTACTTAGACCACATCTCAGTGTTGGGCTGCTGTTTATCTTGTCACCATGTCCCTTACCATTAGACTATCAGTTCCTTGAAGGAAGTGTCCCTAACAACCTCCCAGGGACCTGGCATATGGGCAATCTCATTAGAGACCTCCACCAGGAGGTCTCTACAACAAATGTGACTGCAATATAGGACTGATCAATATCAGCCCTCGTGCACAATAGAGACTGATAATTTGTGTTTCAAAGTGAAAAAAAAAACAACAAGAAAATAATAGTTAAATCAATGACTGTCTTAGTCAGTGTTCTATTGCTGTGAAGAGATGCCTTGACCACCAGAATTCTTATAAATAAAGACATTTAATTGGGGCTGGATTTCAGTCTCAGAGGCCTAATCCTTATTGTCATGGCAGGAAGCATGGTAGCATGCAGGCAGACATGATGCTGGAGAGGTAGCTGAGAGTGCTACATCTGTATCCACAGGCAACAGGAAGGAGAGAGACACTGGGTCTGGCTTGAGCATTTGAACCCTCAAAGCCCACCCCCAGAGACACACTTCCTTCAAGAAGGCCATACCTCCTTCAACAAGGTCACACCTATTAAGTCATGCCACTCCTGAATGACCAAGCATTTGAACATAAGAGCCTATAGAGGCCATTCTTATTCAAACCACCACAATAACTGACCTCAGAATGAGTAGAAATAATGACTTAATTAAAGATACCAGCAAATCTAGGGACAGATTTGTCCCCAGAATAATATTATTCCCCTCTAAATAAGATTCATCTGTCTATACATCAACAGTTGTATTATGTAGCAAAGATCATTCATTCACTTTATATTAGTCATTTGAGTAGCTATGTTTATGTTTTGTTTTTTACCCAATTCCTCTGACATAGATGTAGCTTTTCTCATGTTTTTATAATGGAGGAAGTCAAGACCCAGGGGTTATGTAACTTGCCTGTGCTTCCAGATTCACTCCACTTACCTATTAGAAACATGTAGCACTACTCTACCTGGAGCCCGGTAACAAGTCAATACCTGATGAAGGTAAAAAGGAAGGAAGGAAGAAAGGAAGGAAGGAAGAAAGGAGGGAGAAAGAGGGGAATCCAGAGAAAGAAAGCACCAAGACCTGAGGCCCTGTTTTCATTTACAAGGAGATGGTCACCTCTGCATGGAGGTGTTTATTATATATATGAATGAATGTGTTACATACAGCTCAAGAACATATCCAGTTGCTTAATGAAGTATATTAATTGATCAGATCCATCTGCATGGTGCATGTGACAGCACAGTTCTCTGAGGAATTTGCCAGAAGCATGATTAATAATCCCAACATTCTCCTTTCAAGGGTCTATACTATTTTTTTACTTGAATTAACTGTTTAAACTAGAATATTACTGAACCAGCAAATGTCACATTCCATCTGTAGAGTCATTGGCTAATCATCCAGATCTCTAAGTGTTCACCTTGTATCCTTGCTTCTCTGCCAATACTTTTGAGTTTTGCCATCAGCATTAAGCTATGACATCAAAACAAAGACTGGACAAATCTCCATTTCCTGACTTTCGGCTTCCTACTATTTTCTTTGTTTGAGTCACTTTTGTAGTGACAAAGGCTGTCACTCCAACTGGTCACTCTTTCAGTGGTCTGTCCAAGCATGTGACAGCTAGCTAGTTAGTCAAGAGCAATCCCATTACTATGGCCCGACTTGATGCTCCCGACACGCTGTGGCATGGATTTCTCTTTTTGTTGACACCACTTCGTGCCAGAAACGACTCTGTGATGCTGGAATTAAGATGATAGAAAATAGAGAGCTTGGGAAACAATGGTTTTCTGTTTAATCATGTGCTTGCACATGTCCCCATGGTCTCTTCAGTCTCCAAAACAAGGCCATTTCCCTGGCTACAAATGCAGAATGAATATGCTTCTGTGATCATTAGGTTGATGAATGCCAAGTTGTGTGTGTGTGTGTGTGTGTGTGTGTGTGTGTGTGTGTGTGTGTGTGTGTGTGTTTATATTGTGTTTGGAAACTGTGAAGATGCCTGTAGTTAAATTAGTTTGATTTAAATTGGTAGTGGTGTTAGAATATTTACCATGACTCTCCTTTCTTGAGGCTGAGCAGATTCCTTTGACACTTACGAACTGTGTGTCCATTTTTTTGTTTTGTTTTGTTTTTTTGAGACAGGGTTTCTCTGTGTAGCTTTGGAGCCTGTCCTGGAACTTGCTCTGTAGACCAGGCTGGCCTCAAATTCACAGAGATTCGCCTGGTTCTGCCTCCCGAGTGCTGGGACTAAAGGCGTGTGCCACCACTGGCTGGCTGTGTGTTCATTTTTAATGCTTTGTTGCTTATAAAGCCTACTGAGTGGTCTTGGACAAACATCTTTTCCTCTTTTTACCTCCTTGGTTTCTGCCTTTGAAAGGAAGGGCTTGGAGTGCTTATACCTCCTCTTATACCTGTACAGGTCTAGAACGTGAGGTGGTCAGGAAATCCCTGATACTTATAAATACCTTCCAGGCCAAGTGCTCTTAGAGGCCAAGGGACAAGAATAGCCACAAGGTGTTTGGCTTAAGCTACACAGTAAGGTCCAGGACAGCCAGGGCTACATAGAGATACTGGATCAAATAAGCCAAACCAAAGCAAAACATCTTTCCATTCATAATACCCTTGACTGTCAAAGACTAATTGCTTTAGAAATAACTGTCTACAGGTAGAAAATGAAAGGACGCATCATCTTATTTATTGGTTGCTGATGTTTTTCCGGCTAGGATTTGACACCAAATCAATCTGTAGTAAAAATCTGCTGATCAAGCGTATGGGAGAAGGAAATTTACAAACGAACAGAGCTACAGGCACGGCCAGGGGCGTCACATGCCACCTCCGGTCTGTGTGCCCTCCTTCATCAGTCAGAGGGTACGTCACTGGAGCCCTTCTTGAGGCTTTTCCAGAAGGAGCTGTGGCCTTCTAGAATTCAATCCTCTTCTTCAGTTCTCTGATGAATTAAGGTTCAAAGCAGATGCTATGGCCACCACAGGTCTTTAACGAGATCTGTAATGGCTTATAAAATGGCTCCATAAGGTGCTGGCCTCTTTCTTGGTCATTGCGATGGAATGACTTGGTCTTGTTAGGGAAGTGTTTCTGATTCTCACGGAGGCTGAACTCCACAGGCAGAATGTAAGTGCTCAGCGTTCTCCTGGAGCCCCAGGCGCTGCCTTCATTAACTTGGCAGCTCCCTCTGTTCTGAATTCTGCTCTATACACTGCTCACAGCTCTGACACCTCTGTTCAATATGTCTTGTCATTCTTGGCTAATAAAATTGGCTTTGTGCCAACTCAACCATTCTCTCAAGTCCTGGGTGTCTCCTCTCATCATGCCTTCTTTTCATCACCGAGGAAAGTGCGGTGCACCTTGACCCCTCCAGGGTGCGCTTCTTTGTTCTGTCCTTAAACACAAACCTCTTCCAACATCCGTCTGGTCTGGGCCATTTCCCAACTACGACTTTCTCCCTTCTAGTTCCCAAGAGCTAACACAGACAGCTTCGAAGAAAAAGATTTCTTTCTGGATGTGCGGTCCTTGGCTGTCCTTGAACACAGTAATCATCAAGAGGAGAATTTCCATTGTCTAGAAGTCCATCCGTGGGCTTAAGGAGCTCATCTTCTACTGGGGGATCTTGCATCTCATTTGGGATAAGTTCAGTGTGCACTGTAGATCTGAATGTTCAACAACCCACTCTGCCAGCTAGGAAGTCTGTATGTCACAGTCCTTTTGCCATCTATTGCTAGCTAAATTTTTAAGCCCAATTATATAATGCTAAATGTGATATATTTATAACATTTATGTATACAGAACTTTCGCTCTAGGCTAATTTAGGGCAGATTTTCATTTTTTTTTCCTTTCTGATCTAGTTTTATCTATCATTATTCCCACCATATGACTTCCCTCCACACCATTTCTGTATCATTTTGACTGTGTGTGTGTGTGTGTGTGTGTTTGTGTGTGCACACGCGAGCACTTATTCATAGAAATGCAGAAGGAACATCCAAAATCAGAAGTATAAACATCTACCCCAGGGCTCTTAAAGTCCTCATGACTGAAGGAAGGAAAGGAGGAAGCAGCTGCTGGGGTACACATGCTACTGACCTGTGCTGAACAGGTTGATGTAGGGAGAAGGCAGATCACAGAGGAGTCAGTCCGATGATCAGCATATAAACAGGTGAAGGAGGCCTGCAGATAGTGTCTCTGTGCACCGTTTGCTGCTGTAGCGGAATACCTGAGGTTGCACGGCCTCACAGTTATGGAAGCCCAAGAAGATGGCTCTATCATGTTTAGCTTGTGACGATGGCCTGGGTGCTCTATCATCCCATGGAGGCTCACTGAAGGGATTTGCTTTGATGTGTAAGAGAGAGCAGCAGGGGAAAATATGCTTTGTAACAACCTACCTTACCATAGTGAAACAAGTTCTCCAAAAGCAAGCAGTCACTCAGCCAAGACGGGCATTAATCTATGAGTTAAGGGGTCCATCTCCCTGACTCAAAAACCTCACGATAGGTCCCATCTCCTAACAGTGTGGTTTAAGGAACAAATTTTCCAGCACACTTATTTGGGGGGACACACCAAAGTGGAGCCTGTGGTCAACCATTCCAGTATTGGGGGCACTGCTTTATCTTTGCTTCATCAGATCCTGAGAACTTCTGCAACACAAAACTGTTTAGTTCACCTCTCTATCTCCAGCCAGGTGCACACAGGTCTGCCCAATGATGTGTGGCAGAGCTGCTCAGGTAAGCAAAATGTGTGAGGCCTGAACTAGACCTCCAGTCTTCACACTTAACTGCACACATCAGAGACTGAAAGAAGGAAACCTCCTGCACCTGACCCCAGAGCAGAGAGAGTGCCCATGCTACCACTCTCCCAGTGCCGAATGCCACTGAGCCTGGGGTCCTTCTCCTAACAGCAACCCACCTCACTCACTGAGGAACACGGCCCATGGAACCAAGCATGGCGATGAATCTGTGGCAGGAACAGGGCCTGTCCTCTGTAGAAGAAGAGAGGACAAGCACATGGGAAAATCGTGTGGAAGAGCATCAGCTGGGCACCCAAGGACCATCTCACTCATTTTTTAAAAATCTCTATTCAGTAATGGTTGTGAGTTTAAATGTACTATTTGTCCAAAGCGTGCTATCCCACTATGCCTGGACCTCTTTTTACTTCTCCCTCATTTAAAAGCAAAATTAAACATTTCATGGTGGTTCTACTTATACTCAAAAGGTGGGGAAGAATGGAAGTGTGTATCTTAGATCCCTGGTCACCGTTTTTCCCGAGGAAAACCTCCCGCTGTCAGCCTATTTACACGTTTGGTTGCCTCCTTGTGTTAATGTAAGAGGCTACAATCAGAGCAGCCCCACCCCTTTAGGAAGGGTAGAGGCCATACCTCCGTGCATGTGTGAGAAAACTTTCTGGGAGCATTTGAGAATCATTTGGTGATAATCTAACACTTGATGAATAAGGGAAGAAATGGTGCTTATTTGACACGAAGAGTGGCAAGTAAGAATTTTCCCATCATCACTCCTGAACACACTTTCTATTCCACCCCGAAGGGACCATGTTCTAAATGGGTTGCAAGAAACGACACACTGTTAGCTTCAGGAGGCATGAACCCCACACTGCAGCACATGCCCTACACAAGGCAAGTAGAACTGTATGAGAATAAGCCACGTTTGCTGAGTCCCACTGGGAGACTGAGGGGGAGGTGTTGTGGGGCGACCTCTGCCTTCTGAGCCGCCATGACCATTTTCCACTTTGGTAGTTCAAACCCAGGCCCTGAAGGAGACCAGACTCACCAGGCTTGTGTCCCTCTCTTCTCTTCTCTCGGTGTAGTTGAGTAGCCTCTGTGGTGGGAGACCTGTAGGGAGAACAGCCCCGGCTAGGTGTCACTGGGTTCTGTCACTGGGTTCTAAGCGCTTTAAAGTTAAACATTAGGGTTGGGAATATCAAGCCAGCAGAAGCTTCAGCAAAAGCCTGTGGGCAAGGATGGTAAGGGTGTAAGACAAAGCAACACTGTGACTTAAGAAGAGGCAGCCATCTGTTCAGGAATCACCCAGCTGGGAAAAGAATCTGATTGGAAGGTCACCATAAACCCTTCCCACTTAGTCTTTATTTAAGGAAACCGCTTTAATGAGCTGTGCCTATCCCATGCAATTGCCTTAAAATAAGATGGGTATTAAATGTTGATAAAAGCAATCTCACAGAACAACAGTGGGTTTATATTCATCTCAAGCATGTTATTTAAAATAAACACAGGTAAATATGGCGAGGTCAGAAATAGTTTTCAAACACTGACACAATCATCCCTGAAATTAGTAGTTCAAAATCCATGGTTAATTCAAGTTACATAGTGAGTTTCGGACCAGCCTGGTCTAAGGATAAAGTTTCAGACTTTTCTGGAAGATAGTGTCCTAAACCAACCAACCAAGTGATCAAAATCCATGTTTAAGAAAATTTTATGTGCATTTTATATACTTAACAATTGTCTTGTCTCTGTTTTTGGATTAATATTTTATGTTAGCCACTAATCTACTAGTCAGAAAAATACATATTGAGTATCTATACAGATCAAGTTATGGCCAATACATGCACATTATAAGCTGTGATCTTGTCTCCCCTGAAGGAGATTATAACCTACTTGGGGTTGGGATAAACTGTGTGTAAGGTTCTTTGGAAATTATGCACTAAATTCTAACTTTGGCTTTGTGCATACTGATTTTTACCTTTGAAGCCCACCAAGACTTCAAACACACTCATCAGTTGCAAAAGCTCTAGACTAAAGCTCCTACGTTCCTGAGAACATTCAGATGTTAAATGTGACCTGCTTTTTCATTTGAAAATGAAGGCGAGATTAAGCCGCAAAAAGAACGTCCAGGATTATGCTTATGGGTAAACCTAACAAAGTTAACTTCTTCAGCCAGATTAACCAGGAGAATCTTGACTCCAGAGGGCTGATACAAGACTGGAGCTTCATGTAAGCCTGCGCAGTGTCTGTGTCAGAACTGACATGGACAGACACTTGGTGTGTGAATGAACTTTCCCAAGCTAAGCAGAGCTGGTGAATGAGTGGCACTAAGATGATTTTACCATGAGTACCTCTGGCTGAGGCAAGGCAAAGGGGCATTGAATGTGGCCAGAAATGCCCTGGGGGAAACACAGAAAAAAAAAGTTGGTAGAGAGAGAGAGATTTTTAGTTTATTTCATGGTATTCCCATGTGTGAATTAATTACATCTTTTCAATCTTGTGGATTGAAAGCCATTCCTGGATAATGAAATTAATCAATTGATTCAGAATCAGCATTATTTTTAAAGAGAAAGAAAAGGGAAGAGGATGTGGTTTCAAGGTAAAAAGGGTAAATTTTCTTCACTTATCATATATATGCATATCTATCATCTATTAATCTATCAGATAGATGACAGAATAGGTCTATCTATAGATATATCTATAACTATGGATATAACATATGTCTATAGATATGTGTTACAATGTTAGTGACAACCAGAAGTTATTGAACAGAATTTCTCCACAAGAAAAGAGAAACAGCTCATATAAAGACTGGGAAAATGGAATGCCCAACCTAGTGGAGAGCTGCAAAGAATCTGATCTGGCTGTGGGAGAACGGGATGAGAGATATGAATGGGAGAGTAGGCAGGAGACCTCTCCAGAAGGTATTCTGCTCATCTAAGAACTTTGTATTTGGTTAAGGACAAGATAAAGAGTTACCAGGAGAGAGGGAGACTAAGGAAGAAACCCAGCTTAAAGGAAGGAAAGTCTCCTTTTGGCTTATAATTGAACAGGTTTCAGTTCATAGTTCCAAAGTTGGTTGGCTTATAATTTTTGGGCCGGTGGCAATGCAAAACATCCTGGTGTATAGCTGTGGAGGTTGAGATAGAACCAGGCTCCCAATAGCCTTCCAGGGCACACCTCAAGTGACTTCATGTAGTCGAAATTCTAAACAGTCTTATTAAATAAGAAACACAGAGCCAAATACAGAGGTAATAGCCAAAGAGATCAGAGAACTAGTGAAGAGCCACAACTACCTGATCTTACCACCTCACCACTGTCACTTCCCCAGAGAGAGCTTCTTTCTGTGTAACCTTTGTTTTTATTGCCTTTCTGTTCTACTTTCTCATTGGCTCTAAGCCCAGCCACATGACTTCCTTGTCACTGCCTGTCTATACAGACCTCCAGGTCTCTATGGTTTGTACTGGAATTAAAGACTCATGTCACCATGCTTGGCTATGTCCTTGACCACACAGAGACTCTGCCTGCCATGTGATTGGATTAAGGGCATGTGCTACCACCGCCTAACTTCTGTTTATGGCTCGCTATGTGACCTCTGATCTCCAGGCAAGCTTTATTTATTAATATACAAAGAAAATCACATTTCAGCACAATTAAAATAGCACCACAACTTCATTTCCTCCAACTAGGCTCCACCCCTCAAGTTTCAATCACCTCTCAGTAGCTCCTCCAGTTGGACAGCAAGCTGTTATGCAATAATCTTTTGGTACACTGTGAAGAAGTATCACTCTGATTGGTTGAATAAAGAGCTGAACAGTCAACAGCTAGGCAGGATTTCCAGGCACAGAGGACACTGGGAAGAAGAAGGGTGGAGATGTGAAGAGACAAGGAGGAAGCAGCAAAGCAGGATGGACAGTATGTAGATGAGGTAAGCAAGCCTCACGGCAGCACATACATGAATAGAAATGGGTTCATTTAAGTTACAAGAGCTAGTTAAAAACAAGCCTAAGCTATCAGCCAAGCTTTCATAATAATAAGTCCCCATGTCATGATTTGGGAGCTGTCTGGTGGGACAGAAAAATCCACCGACACCAAGCCTTTTAGCACGTGGACTTTGGGGACCATTTAAGGCTGCATTTGTCTTAACCCCTTGGGTTTTGTTTCCTCTTATTTGTTTTCTTCTATTTCCAGCCTTTGGAACAATAAGATTCTACATTAAGAAATGCATTACAGGGCTAGAAAGATGGGGTTTGATGCTCTTTCAGGGGACCTGAGTTAGGTTCCCAGCAACAGACAACCACTTGCATCTTCAGCTTCAAAGGGATCCAGCACCCTCTACTGGCCTCTGTGGGCACAAGCATGTGCCTACACATGTGTGCATATACATGAAAAAAATTTTTTTTTTTTTTTTGGTTTTTCGAGACAGGGTTTCTCTGTGTAGCTTTGCGCCTTTCCTGGAACTCACTCTGTATCCCAGGCTGGCCTCAAACTCACAGAAATCTGCCTACCTCTGCCTTCCGAGTGTTGGGATTAAAGGCATGCGCCACCACCGCCCGGCAAAAAATATTTTTTAAAAAACAAAAACAACATAAAGAATTGTATTGAGCTGGGCGGTGGTGGCTCATGCCACCCAGCACTCAAGAGGTGGAGGCAGGCGGATTTGTTTTCTTGTGTCCCAGCCTGCCGGCAGTCAGGACAAATCTCTCCCACTAGCATCCCCCAAGTAAACATACAGAGACTTATATTACTTATAAACTGTATGACCGTGACAGGCTTTTTGCTATCTGTTCTTATATCTTAAATTAACCCATTTTTTATTAATCTATAAGTTGCCAAGTGGCTCATAGCTTTCTGGTATCTTACATCATGCTTCTCATGGTGGCTGGCAGTGTCTCCTGACTCAGCCTTCTTCTCCCCAGCATTCTCCTCTCTCTTGTCCTGCCTACACTATACTTCCTGCCTGGCTACTGGCCAATCAGCATTTTATTTATCAATCAATCATAGCAATAGTTCAAGGCCAGCCTAGTCTACAGAGTGAGTTCCAGAACAGCCAGGGCTACACAATAAAAGCCTGTCTTGAAATAATTAAAAAGAAAGGAAGAAAGAAAGGAAGGAAGGAAGGAAGGAAGGAAGGAAGGAAGGAAGAAATGCATTGCATGAGGCAGTCCCACATTCATATCACATACAAATCAAATGAAAATTTTACATAACAATAAATAACGTTATTCTGTACAAGACCCTCTGTCATTTCCCTCTCTTTTCTAGTCTATTTATTTAGTTTTCAAATACACACTAAATTGATTTCACATCCAAGTGCTGGCTGGTGACTAATGGTTTGAGAAACAGTATTAGATCCCATGCAGCAGTACTGAGATGAGTAATGGGGGTAACAGCACAGCTTCTCTTACAGCCAAAAAGAGCAATAGCCCTCTCTGCTGTATAGATCCAATCTCATCTACCCTACACGCCAGATTTGACTTTGCAAAGCCAAGATAACATCTGTATGTGTAAGCATATAAGTCACAGTGTGAATACTTTGTATTCTGACCCCCACCTTGGCTTCCCAGACCTTTCTTAGAAATATGCTTTTAATATCATTCAGACTTGTAGTTGTGAAGTTACTTCATGAATCTGTCTTTAGATGCACAGAAGCTTTCTCCAGTCACAACATTCTGTGAAGCTGTAGTGATGGAGAGAAGGAGAAGGGAGGGAGAGAGGGTGGGTGTGGGTTCTAAACAAGAAGCCTTCTCTACCCCACAAAGAAGACTGGGAGGGATTCCTCACTTCTTGGAAAGAAATAGAGATAGTTCAGTGAGCATTCATGACAGCTTCACCTAGAGTAAGGATGAGCACATATTTGATAAGTCTTTATGATGCATATGCATGCTTCTGTCTTGGGGGGTTGAAATATTTAAAGTAAGAATGACATTTCTGAATAATTACTTTGCTCCCTTTTGAGAACTTTGCAAACAAAGACAATTAGACCTTTTCTTAGGTAGTCTCAAACCCAGGTCATACTTAAAGCCTTGTGAGTGATCCATGTAGAGAAAAGTATTTTAAGCAAATATCTATGTCTTGCTAAGTTTACTCAAGCTAAATTTTTTGGCAAAGTT